CCGGCCCCGGCCCGGCCCCCTCCGCACCACCAGGCGCTGCGGGATCCCACTGCTGTGGGATGAGCAGCCGCCAGGGCGGGGGGGCAAGAGGCTGCCAAAGTCACCCGCTCCAGGTCTCCCTCCCTCCCCCGCCCGGCCTGCCTGCCTGGCAGGGTGCCCCCTGGGGCAAGTGTCAACCATGCTGTGTCCTGACTTCTTTAAAAGCTAGTCCCTGCCTAGATCCCAGATCCCATTCATTTATCAAGAGAAGCTGCCAGCCATGGGACTCTTCCGTCTGGGGCAGCGCAGGCTCAGGGAGGCAGCCTATAAGTACATCGGTGGGGGGGTGCATCAGGATCTAGGGGAAGAGTGCCCCAGGGGTTGACAAGGTTCAACGGTCACACACTCCTGCAAGACTGTTTTAGGCTGGACATAAAGAAAAACTTCTTTACTGTCCGAGCCCCCACGGCCTGGAACAGACTCCACGCAGAGGTGGGGCCAGCACCTACTCTGGACACTTCCCAGAGACATTTGGACATTTATCTTGCTGGGATCCTTTGACCCTACTGACTTCCTTGGGCACGGGCTGGACCCGATGATCTTACGAGGTCCCTTCCAGCCCTAATGTCTGTGAAATCTATGAAATCAAGCTTTCCTCTCCCCAGGTTTCATTTCCCTGTCCCTAAGTACCTGCAGATGTCACCTGTGGATCAGTGTTTTCTGTCCCTGCCTCTGACTTTCTTGCCTCACAGCTCTGTAGGTTGGGGAGGTGAAGTTTAGACGCTGACAGGTGTTCATCCCCTGTGGGCAGCCCTTTGAAGGATAAAGGGAAGGAGGCGATTAGGGGAGAAGGGCAAAGCCCAGAAATAACAGGCATTCAGAAAGTCAGCCCATGCTTTCTCTAAGAGAAGCTGCAGCCTAGCAAGTTGTGCTGGGGTGTGGAAGAGCATCCAGGAGCATAGGGGAAATCACTTTTGTGAGGACTGGTACATTAGAAAAAATAATGTGGTATATTAGAAAAAATATTTCTCTAAATACATTAGAAAAATATGCCTCAAGCAGCCCTGCAGCTGCAGAGGGGAAGGGAGCCCATAGTGGGCCTGGGAGCCTCTAATAACTTGAGAGGTTTCTTCCGCCCATGCCTTCACTCCATATTGTTGGAACTATAAGGCATCTAGTGTAGTGTTCACCTTGATAGATAAAACCAGATTTTTTTAACCCCAAGTTGTTCACAACAGTCTGAAATCTGTTTCCTTCCAGAACACGCTCTCACAGCTGGATCCTGTGTAAACATGCCGGCTTTCTGGAGCATTGCTCTTGGGAAGTGAGCTGTGCACACAGCTTTATTTTTACAAGGGCACCTAGGAGCACAACGAATCACAGATCAGTTATTTTAGGGCTCCACTCATGAATCCTGGGTTGTGGGAATGGGTTTGTTTTTAAAGAAGAAGTCACAATACACAAAATTGTTGACATTTGCCCCAGCCATGCAATGAAAGGGATCTGGACACATCCCTGCACCTTCCCACAGCCCCGCTGAAATAATCCCTGTGCCCCAGAGGGCTCGTTCCTGTATCAGGGCCGCTGCCAACAGTTTGGAGGAAGGGTCAGGCTTATTCACTTTGATGAGGCCTTTTTAATTTTTGGCCTTTTCTCCTGGTGATTTGAGGAGTTACAGGTTTAGCAGGAAGAGAAGTTTTAACGGGACCTGAGAAATCCCCTCAAATGTTGTACATTATTTTCACGACATTTTGCAGTTCATGGGTGTGATGCCATTGCTTTAGAGCCTCTGTCTGTAGAAAAGACAATTTTGGTCTCGGAATGGCGGGATTAACATGTGTTAATCCATGTAACGTGTCACATTATTTACCTTGGCTAGCAATTGCTTTTGGTACTTTTATTGAACTAAAACAAACTTTTACAAGTCTATGGCCTTTGCTTAGAGCAAAATGCAATGGAGGGTTCCACCTTGTGGAGAAAAGTGGCTTTTCTTGTAGTTGAAAGAATTAAGCAAGCATGACCTACAAAAGATTTTTTTTAACTGGAGTTTTGTTCCTAAATCTTTCTAAAGAAGACAACCAGAAAAGTTTTTTTTTCTTGCTTATTTTTTGATTTCTAGCCTTAAAAATGCTAGGAATCACAGGGCTGGTCTTTCCTTATTTAGCTGGAAATCTTTCATGGGGATTGAAATGTTTGAAAACTCAGTTTGCTGGAAAAGACAGAGGCTCTAAAGCAAGCAGGAGTGTTTAATCAATGCCTTTTGTTAAATAGTTACTCGAGTTAAATCAGAACAAGAAAACCATTACATGTCCATTGCCCCCACCCCCCTTCTTCAACATTCCTTGGATTTTTGTGATAGCTCAATGTCCCTCGCTCTCCAGTCACCATAGAATTACATGCTTAAAAAACCTGAAATTCTATGACAGAAGATAATTTTTCCTCTTCTCTGGTTCTGTTCCTAGCCAAAAAATGTCCCATTTCTTTATGCATTATAAGAAGCTAAAGAAAGCACAGACTTCTTACCTTCTTTGTTTTATTGTAGTTCACTTTCAAATGCAAACTCCACAACATTTCCTAAAGCAATTCAGGGTTTTAAAGACATTTTGGCCATGTCCAGACATGCAGGCACATGCAGTTTGTGGTGCTGCATACCTCTATGGCATGTTAAAATGTGCCCCGTACTACAGATTGGCAGCATGGGGCCAAATTTGTCACTGGGATTTCCCAGTAGAAAAAAAACCTGTCGAGAAAAAAAGTGGCATGGTGCATGCCACAATAGCGTGCATCGGAACAAACAGAGGCTCAGTCCTTTGGGGAGACGCTCTGGCTGCCAGCCAGAGCAGCTCTACTATTTCATTTGTGCACCAGCTGCTCCAACACGCCGGGAACCAGGAGGAGCAGGGAAAGGGCAGTTTGCTTGAAGCGCACCAAAACGCTCACCAAAGCTCACCAAAATGCATGTGTAGGGCGTGTGCTGTGGTACAAAGTAATGGCACAAATTTGTGCTTCTACTATTTGTGCCGCTGCCAGCGTACACCCCTGCATATCTGGATATGGCTTTTGGGTGTTTGATTTTACTCTAACTAGAATATTCTTTAGTGATAGCAAAAAGCAATGTTTTTATCCTGTCTTAAGAAGGTTCTGTTCTAAAGGAAACAATCAACTTGCTTTTGAACCAACATTTAGAGATATGCAACAGAAGTAGAGCTCTTTTAATTTTCTTTTTATTAATCTGAATTAAAACAATACTGAAATGCTGAGAATTCAACCAATAACGTTGAAGGAGCTCCCCCCACAGGTCATGCATTGAGTTACTCTGCAAATGCTCTTTCAGCCATGAGTGGGAGTACAAGGGGTACAAAATCTATCTCCTTCACGTTAGGCAATGAGAGAAGTTGAAAGCCCAGTCAGTGACTATCCCAATGATTGTCAACCAGGGTGCCAGGAAATCCTTTTCAAGGATGCCATGGCAGGGGCACCTAAACAATTCCCAAAATAAACCCACAGATTTCCATTACAGCATGAAAAACATTCTGACCCGCTGTGGTCTTTCTGAGTTCTTTGCAACAGAAGAATTACTTTCTTATTTTTCTGTAGTTAAGGGATGAATAAAAGCTAAGAATGGCATTTGTTGAAGGGTGCCTTCAGTCTAAAAAGGTTGAGAACCATTGAGCTAGCTCATGCCTCTCTTCTTCTGCTATACAGAAAATGTCTGTGTTACATAATGGCTCCAAAGACAACATTTTGCTTTTGCTGTTGTATATTCAACTCGTATTCAGCTTATGAACTACTGTAACCCCAAGGTCCTTGTCTGCAGTACTGCAGCCTAGCCACTCATTCCCCAGTCCGTATTTGTGCATGCAATTATTTTGTCCCAAGTGCAGGTCAGAATAAGGGGTCAAAGGGTTTGCTAAAATCAAGGTATATCACATCCACTGCTCTCCCTGCAACCACAGAGTCTGTCACTTTATCATAGAAGGAAATTAGGTTGGTCAGGCATGACTTGCTGTTGCTGAATCCATGCTGGCTGCTCCTTGCTCTCTTTTAAGTGCTTCTCAATGGATTCCTTGAGGACCTGCTCCATGATCTTTCCAGGTACTGAGGTCAGGCTGACTGAGCTGTAGTTCCTCGGATCATTTTTCCTTTTTTTTAAAGATAGGCACTATATTTGTCCTTTTCCAGTCATCTGGGACTTCACCTGGTCTCCAAGAGTTTTCAAAGAGGATGTCTAATGGCTCCACAATTACCTCAGCCAATTA